GATTGCTTCAGTAAGGCACTAGGGCAAAAAATCTGATTATGCTACGCTAGGGCACGAAGGTACAGTGTACATGTAGAAACAGACATGTACATAATTAATAGTCTGTGGTAATGCCACCAAGCATGCCAAGGATTCCTCAAAAGTGTCCTATTTTAGGCACCATACGTGCAGCTTTCAAACCTGAAGAAAACTGTGGAGAGGAGACAATGAGAAGCAGTTACAGTTTTAGAGGTGAGAGGAAAACCCTAGAAGAATATTTTAGGTAAAACCCACTGAATCAATAGGGACTGAAAACCCAACCCACAAGTGGACCGAGCTAGGATACACCGACCACAGTCTGGGCCGTAGAGGTTAAAGGTAAGGAAACAACCACTACGCCATGTACGCCACCCTGACTCCCCCTGCTGTTCTCGCTGTCGGGATGACGTCACTGATTCTTCTCTCTGATTGGTCAATTGGCTGCTATTTTCACACTCGAAACTCAAGGGGCAAAAATAGTGTTGTGGTCTCTGAGGAAAATCTAACCATTGATGGAACTGAAATTTCACTATTTATCATGTTTATGTGCTATAAACATCTCCTACGCTGTACTGAAAAGTTTCAGTTATTTTTATCATGTTGCTGCAAAAAAGGAGGAAAACATGCAAATTCCTGTACAAAATGAATGGAGAATAGCCCCTTTACCCAGACCTGAGTGCAATGAACATGAATAAATGGTCCAACAACCTACTGAGTAACGTTACGCTTAAGTTACAGTACAGCCCTGATCAACATGATCAGCAATGCATCAACAGTCATGAGTGTTGTCAGTGATCAACCTTCCTTAGTATCATTGACACTGTCACGATCAACGGGTCAACAACGGAATGTACACTGCAGGCCTAGGCCCTACATCATGTACATGTAATTCATAAAGCAGTGAGATCTGTATTCAGCGGGAGAACTGAGATATCTCTCAGTGCATGGAGGATGTTTTATTCCTCCATATGCATATGCATCAGTGCAGTGTTCCTCCGTAACGTGGCCAATGTCACGACTCGACTGTCCATCTCTTGAAGTTAAGAGGACACGAAATTTGGGATTTTCCTTGTAATTACTTGAGTAGTCAAATGAAAGGGGTGGTACTTAATGTTTAATCTTACCTTTTCGTAAAGAAAGTGGGCCTGATGCGATAAAAATGCGACAAAAAGTAGAAATCTCACATTGAACTCAATCACACAAGTTTACGCTTTGGTTGTAACGCTAGAGGGCGCTAGACCTGCCTCAGAGGTCACACTTCATGTAGAGATCATATTAAATAAAACGCCTGTGATCAGCGTGTCGCGCACGACGCGCCGGCGTAGCCCGGGGGGGGGTTGGCTGGGGGCGCGTGCCCCCCCCCCCCACAAATTCCCCGGTGCTCCCCAGGTGCCTCCCCCCACACTAAAAAACGGATGGATGGATATTGAACAAGGCTAACAAAAGCTTGCCCCAAAAAACCACACCACTGAAAGCTGGTGTCCCCCCATAAGATGCTGATGCCCAACCCCACTCGTAAAATCCTAGCTGCGCCACTGCGCACGCCCAGCGCCCAATTTTTTTTTTGTTGGCTGCACAGACTTCTGACAACTCCAATTACACACACAAAAGAACAGTTTAAATTTCAGTGCTTTTACAACTTTAAGATCTCAAAAATAATTGCGATTGGCCATCAGATGGCATTTTTTCGTTGCAGGTAGGCCTAGATTTATTCCTAACCCCCATATTGGTCCAAACAAGCTGAAAAGATCTAGGCCAAGCTTCCAGAAGCCAATACGGTCCAACTTATTTTGTGTTTTTATCCGAGTCCCTTGAGGTTGACCATCACTTCATTGGATAAGTAAACAATTATGCCATTAAGATAGAGCTTATGATTAGTATCCCGTAATAATCGACACATTCCAGGTCCGAGTACGAACGGATAAAATGAGTCACTCTGCATTGTAATTGGAGACTGGCCTCATGCATGAACTAACGCGGCGCATCCCGAAATTTATTGCATCACTGTAAAACGGTCCAGTCTTAAACATATTCTCCTAAAAAAAAGTGGTTGGATGCTTTGGCGGTAATTGATATATTTTATTGTTTAAATTGTCATGCAAAAACTAGAAAAAAAATTAATCAAAAAAAGCAAAAGCACAATTTACAAAAGAAAAAAAAAACGGTTGTCATCAGTTTAGATTTCGGCTCCAAATTTTGGATCCAACATAATTAGTAACACTGCATAAATTCTGTTCAACTGAGAT